AACTGTGCCGTGCGTTCGGGCCAACCGTTAATTATTCATAAATGGAGTCAATTTGTGTAGTTTTCTTGATTTATTCTACAGATATAGGTAAAATATAGGTAAGGCAAAATTTGAAAGAGCAACTAATACGCGAGTCCGGCGTTTCATAATAAATGTTTTCTATTAATAATTGCACTTTCAATTAATATTCATGAGTTATTTCTACCTCATAACCTCGTTAAAGGTCATTAGCATATTGTTTACGTAGCATGCTTCGGTCTCTTTTTCTGTATTCCACAACCAATGCATCATCACAGTGAGGTAAATTTTAATTTACGTTTTAAGTGACGTTCAGCACCAATTTGTCAATCAAAATTCATTGATGGTGCTGAAATATGTTTTCAGAAAGTACAGCAGTAAGGACACTAAAAAATACAATTATAAAACTAAACCTACAAAATTCCAAAACTTAAGAAAAAAATAATACACTAAAAAATAAACAAACTACAAATATTAAAGGCAAATACACAAAAGTATAGATAAAAAAATAGTAATAATAAAATCTCAAATAAGTACCTAGCAATAGAAATGAGCACATTGTATAGTTGTCGATGAGAAAAAAGAATGAACATTTAATCATTCAGGGGGCATTGTTGTCCCATTTCAAGTGCATTTTTTTAGAAATTGCGAAAGAGGCATGGACATGTGTTTGTTGCTCATCACAAATTAAAATGAATTTGTATTCATTATTGTTATTTTTAAATTCTTCATTAATTTGTTGTTTGAAAGTTGTGTTTGTGTTCGAAGAACACACATAAGCGAGTTACCATATATCTAAACAAGCTAACAAGCGGCGGCGTCGTTTGTGTAACTTAATAAATTGAAAGACATCGGGTATTCAATATTGTTTCATGGTCAAATACTATTTGTTATTTTTTGAAGTCATCACTGTAGAATCCACATGTGAAATAAACATTAAAAAGGGACATGGATGCTTGAACGGGGGAGAATGTGTTGCCAACCAGTACGATCCAACAGAGTTAAATTACTGCCAATGTCCTGATGGGTATACTGGCGACTATTGTGAAACAGGTAAATAATATTTTTGGAATGTGTATTAGTATTTACTAGTATCATAGCATGCTCATTGTTAATTTTGTGGACTTGACAAAGTTTCTTATCTTTCTTCTGTAGGATTTGTGCCTAGCCAAATTACATTTCTATTATGTATTGGGTCCTCCTTTCAATAGTCTGTATATACTTTTAAACATGTAAATTTATCCTAACGTCACACAAAATTGGTTGGTCACACTCACGTCTCTGTGGGAATATAGCGTGTACGGATAACAAACTATTGCCATCCATGTTCGGAAAATTAGCATATTATTATAATTTGCTGCTTGTTATAATTATCAGCCAATGAACGCCGCCGTCACTGAGGCGAAATTTCCGCAACATTCTCAGACTAACGAGAATAACAATGGAAAACAAAACAAAGGAATGGTAACCTGGCTAATTTATACCCAACTGTTTTATCAAAACTTAATACCAATGTAAATTATTTCAGCATCCCCTAAAATACTCAATGTTATCCATGTTTAATATCATAAAATATAATACAATGTCAATGGAAATTCGCATTATCTGACAATATGCAGTTATTTTAATAAATATATCCTATATTTCTGTAGAAATGCTTTTTTGTGGACCAAACTTGGACTGCATAAACGGTGGAACCTGTTTGGAAGATGATGGCGGCGAAAACTACTGTATTTGTCCAGACGGCTTCATTGGATATCTATGTGAAACAGGTAAATTCTAGTCTGACAACATCGCCTCAACCTGGCCGACGGCTACAAACATAACACGACACACATATCTTGATCTGGTCGTATTAATGCCTACTCACACCTCGTTTAAAGCGAGGGAGTTGTCAACTGCGCATGCGCCACATGACCATAGCGTGTCATTGTTTACAAGCAAGCGTTTTTAGCGTGTGTTGCTATCGTCGCTTGGGACTCAATTCCCGCGCGTGCGCAGGTGATGACCCTCCCGCTTTAAGAAATAATTGTCTGTGACAAGACAAACTGCACTTAGGTAACATCAAAAAGAACGTGATGCAGAGAATGGTGAGCATAAAAAGTGAATGAATGAATAGTGACAGACAGATCAGTCTTAGCATAGCTATTTTATTATTTGCATAACAGAAACAGACTGCTCTTCTGATGACGATTGTCTGAATGGCGGTACTTGTGATATCCCCAATACTCGCTGTGTATGTTTAAGTGGAGTTACCGGCTACCATTGCGAACGAAGTAAGTTTTGAATTTAATAGTGTTGCACGTAATCATTTGAGTACTGGTGTGATTCATTAAATGTTAACATACTTCTCATTTTATTCAGCTTTACGAACCGAAATCACGCCATCGGTGGTAAATTTAAGAGAACATATACTCACGGTTACTAATTCATACTAGTATGACATAACAATGGAGGGAAATGCAGCTAGATATGGTTGGATGCTGTAATAATGAATGAAATGGATGCAAACCGTCGTCAGCGACGCATATTTATGTGCTGCTGCGACCTTTTTTTTCTTGCAATGCTACATCAACGTGAAAAAAAAAATGTTTTCGAATCTTCTGCCGTTCATGTGCACGATGACCGGTTACAAATACCATAACAGCAAATGGATATAATTTCAATATAGCAATTATTATTATCATCATATGCGTATCATTTTCCATGTTTGGGTCAAATAACAGATCAAATAATGAGGGTGTGATTTTGGCACGAGCCGAGTCGGCCCCAAGTGGGTCCCGACTAACGTGAACGCACGTACTGTAATCCATCTGAAAACACAAAGGATTACAGCAATTTCAGGCACTGATTTGACGCTGAAGTAGTGCTAGATGTTGATGAACTTACTACAATAGGTTACACACTTCGGTGCGTGCCGAGATTCGATGACGTGAAATTAGCAGATATCTGTCCTGATATACAACAACACACTGTTTATTCACAACATGTCTTTCTGTTGATTTATATAGTTTTTCCTACCTGTGATTGTATCGATGGTATTGAATGCGTCGGTGACGTGTGTCCTTGCTGCTGTGAGGGCGAAGAATGTGTTGATTACCGACCCCAATCCTACCGAATCTGGTAAATATGACATTAATATTTTATACAACTAGAGATGTCAATAAATACATATTTTTAATATTTGTTTTGTTTCATATTG